AAATAAGAAAGGGTATGGACTACAGGATATAAGAAAAAAAACAGCCATTGCATTTAGTATCTAACCATAAAACTTTACTAAATTTCTTGTGAACAGGGACAATGGGCTCATTACAAATTTGAATAGATGGATAAAATTAATGGAATAGTTTTTCTTTTTATTACTTTACTCTAGTCCCATTTTTAGTTAAAGGAAATTACCAGAACTCAAATTTTACTTGAAAAAGGAACTGGTAAAAATCATTCTTATATATCTATTTTCACAACAACATAATATTTTCTTCCTCTAGAAGACAAAAATATGTATACATATTCCCTCCTCTTCCCATATGAACATTTCTGGATTATTACTAATGTCAATAGAGAGACTGATGAACATCTAGATTTTACACAGTTTCAAGCACCAGGATGGGGAGGGAGCTGATCTACTAATGAGCATGTTGCCCCTTGCTGGAGAATGCAGCAATGATAGCGGAAAAGAGCAAAGAAGATTGGAACCTTCAGCCCACCCTTGCCTTCAAAAACAAAATCCTCTGTCTCTGACCATAAATATTCTTGTCTCTCTTCAGCTATTGTCCTTGACTTCAATTCCCATTCATTTGCAACTTAACATCTTAATATTTTAGCAGTTGCCATAGACTAGTAAATATGCTGCATTTCTCTCTGATTAGAAAGACAGATTTTCAGACATGGGTATTATGTTTGAAAAAACAGACACCCATTTCTTGGTCCTTTTCTGATGGTGTAGATCAGTGTTTCCCAAAGTGTAGTACGTGTACCCTCAAGGGTACGGGAAGAGTTTGGTGGGGATATGCACTGCACCGTGCTTAGCTGCACCTAATTCTACGTTCTCATGAATAAGAGGGGTACTCAGTGTTACAAAAATTATAGAAGGGGTACACATATGTCAAAAGTTTGGGAAACACTGGTGTAGATGATCAGTTCTCTGGAGAGCAGATAAACCAATGTTATATGTTGATTAATGTTCTGTTTCTATGCCTTCTTGGCTCTGGAATGTCTCACATTTAGCCACCTGACCTAAAAAGTTAATAAATAAATTCATACTACTCTAACACAACTTTAAAATATATTCTAGTTATGGTAAAACCAAAGGCATCGTTAAGACAGTCTTTTAAATATATATATTTATAACAAGACAAAACACCCAGTAAAATCTTTCACTTTTATTTCCAGGTTTGCAATTTACTCAGTGCAGTTGACCTTTAAGCATATATAAAATATATACAGACAGGATTTCAAATAAAACAAAAGGTTTCTTGGTTTTAATGTATGGCATTTAAATACTCCTTTACTGCACTATTTATAAAACTGTTTTATAGAACACTAAAAAGTATGGGGCTGTTTAAAAATGTTAATCCTATAATTAATAGTCAGAGGCATACGCTTCCCCCAAGCACTAGGCACTGATATTCTAAATCTGTCACTCTGAACTTTACAGTAGGAGACAGCCATCTGCCTGCATGCAACCATCTGAAACAAAGCAAGACTATATGCTCTTATGTTTCCCCTGGTGAGATGCAGGATCATTATGATAAAGTAGGCAACAAGGTTGAGCTCATATGAATTAAGATAACATGTGTTGAGAAAAAAAAAGAGCATATTAAATCAAACTGATTCTATAAGTCAATGTTATTAGGTGATTGGATATGGATGATTTAATAAAGTAGAGCACATGATGTAATGCTCTACCTAGCTATGTTATTCTGAGGATTAAGTGAAATAAGATTCAGGAAGTACTCAGAGCAGCATCTGGTACACCAAAACTATTCACAATGTAGTTCATATAATTTGCTAGATAGATGTTAAATGTACTCAACAGGGATTTTGCAAGAAATAATTTTTATAGCAATATATCAGTAAAGTATAAGCAATTTAAAATTGAGAACATTTCTAAGATATACTATATATATATATATATATATATATATATATATACACACACACACACACACACACACACACACACACATATATATATATGTATTAGAGGCCTGGTGCATGAATTTGTGCATGGGTGGGGTCTGGACAGCCTGGCCAGGAGGGAGGGGACATAGGCAGTTAGCCAGCCTGCCTGCTGGTTGAATTCCTGGTAGAGGGGACAATTTGCATATTAGCCTTTTATTGTATAGGATATAAACTGAGTGGCCAGATTTTTATGCGTTCAGAGATCATAATAATTTGTCTACTCAATGCATCCTATCTAATAAAGATGGAATGTGCTAATTGACCATCACTCCATCACAAAGATGGCTGCACCCACAGATGAGGCCAAGTTCCCCTAAGGAGGCTTAACTAAGCAATCAGCAGGGACCTGAGGCTACGCCCTTCCCTGCCCCCACAGGGCTTGACAGGGGACCTCAGGCCACACCCCCCACCTGGCAGGGCTTGACAGGGCACCTCAAGATGTGCTTCCCATCCTGGTGCTGCTCCTCCTGCCCCAGTGCCAGGCCAGGGGAGCACAGGACACGCACTCCACCAGGTGGGGCTTGACAGGGGATCTCAAGGCACTTTCCCCACCATGGTCTGGGCTGGGGGATCTCAGGCCATGTCACCCACTCTAGCGCCAGGCCAGGGGACATGAGCCTGTGCCCCCTGCCCAGTGGGGCTTGACAAGGGTGGGAATGGCCAAGTCTGGGTCTCACATAATTTTGAGGTGCATGTGGGTGGGCGGGGATTTGACTCCAGGTCTCACGGTGTGCCCCAGACACTGACAGGAGGAAGGTTTTCATATGCATTTTACTAATTTTCTTTAATCTTTGACACTTCTATTATAGAGAAAAAGTAAATAGCAATATTAAATTATCTCCTCTAATCCCCTTTTAACGTGCTCTAATTTCATGCACTGGACCACTAGCATATATATATAAAGAGAAGGGAGGTGGGAGAGAGAAATACTTTAATTTAAGGAACTGTTTATCCACAGCAAGATTTCTACCAGGTAGTAGAAACCTGCATACAATAGTGTTTATTTAAATCTACTCTTAGAAATTATGGCATTTGACCGAACTGGATAATGCTATAAAAAGTCTCATTAGGGTAGCAGATTTCTGAGTCATGAGCCTTAGGCGGTAGTCATTATCTGTCAATCTGGATTCTAAGATGCATACCAGTTTTCAGCATGCATATTGAAAACATAAACCCATTCTTGACTTCCTCTATAACTGAAAGAAGAAAGGTACTTAATTCCATTTTAGGGGGTAAATGGTTAAAAGCAAATATTGATCATTTTTAAATTTAGAAAGAACATTCCCAATTCTAAAAATGTATATCACACCACATTCTAAATATTATATTGAAATATATTTCCTCAAAGGAGGCAAGAATAGCAACAAAGTTATAGGTAATGCTATCATGGCTGACAACCTAAAAAAAGTCTTATTGCATAGATTTTTGTTTAGTGCATCATACATCTCAGGTATCACTGACGAAGTTTCTTCATGAAAAAATAAGTCATCCTCTTTGTAATAATTACTTCCTGACAATTTCTGATTATTTTTCACTTAGAAATAAGTAATCTATAGTGGATTCCCTAGTTATAGCAACACATTAATGACATCCCAGTCATTAGTTTTCAAAATATTGTAAATTTCATCAGGAAAAAAGAGGTAGAAAATGAATAACACTCTTGGAAAAAGATAAAACATTCCCAACAATGAATACAGAGCAGAGATCCTTTTCCGGAGTTCAGGTTCCTGTTTTCCGTCATCTCAAACACCAAATGTTATTTAAACTTCAGTCAAGTCTTAGATTTGACTCCCAATAAACCTGAATTACTCCCATTCTGAAGAAAAGTGTGGTCCCTATCTGAGTGTTGAAGCTACAGAGTAAGGAAGTAGGAGGAAGAACTGGGGATTCAGTAGGAGAGGTACTAGAGGGCCATTTGTACTCTGATGCATGTGGCTGACCAGGACATATACTCGTTAACTAAAGACTCCTTTTACAACATCAATTTCACCACTGTCAATACGTTTGGGTTCAAAAATTAAAATATCAAAGTATATTTGAAGAAGGTTAGGAGGGTATTTTTCTAAGACTCCATCTATCATGAAATCCAAGAAAGAAAAAATCCTCTCAAGAGTTTTACTTGCTTACGTGGCTGAATATTAAAACACTCACTACAGTCACACAAGATCATTTGGAAAGAAGAGCTGAATACCCTATACACACACCTCTGAATGATATTTGGAGGCCTCACATTTTGGTATTTAAAAAAGGGGGTTATTTAACACAATCTGGAATAAGTAATGAATTTCTCTGCTCCCTGAATCATTATCCACTAGTAATCCTCACCCCTACTTCCCCAATTTAAAACCAGTGATTAATTTTACATACGAAACAATGACACTTTTAAGCTATTAGTGGAGAGACGTGCAGTCAGCTGCCTCATAACCCTAAAGTCTTTGTAAGCTGCCCAGGGCATTTCTGACTGCAGGTGCCCAGCATGGCTTTAATTAACTGAGACTCTCAGGAGGGCCTAGATGTTGACAATAGGAAAATTTTCACTTCATTCATAAATAATTCCATTAATGCTAAAATTAAGTTCTTAAGCATTAAAAAATAATGTACTCTTCCAACACACCGAAATAATTTAAATACGGAGATCTGCTTATGTTATTTGATTAACAAGCAAGAAAAAAAGCATTAATTAGAACCAAATTATTTCTATGGTGACAAAGAATGCAATATCACACTTTTAGAAGAAACTGTGCAAATAACATTACATTTCAACTTTAATTTTTTTTTTTTTGGTGGCAAATGAAAAAATATTTTTAATGGTAATTCTAATAAAAATATCTCAGGTTTGCTTCTACATTATTGAACTGAAAAGGTTCTTTCAGAATTGTTTTTTAAGTAAAATTATACAGAATTTTCTTGTTTGAACTACCATTCATCACTGTGTGTACAATAGGTTTTAATTCTCTTCCTCTCTCCAGAGAAGTTTTCAAAAAGAAATATAGAAGGATAATGAAGATGGATTACCTTGCTCGCAGAAGCAGCCAGTGAGATGTAGTGGGCAGTCACACTGGAATGAGAATGCATCACTTGAGAGGAAGTTGGGGTGGCAAGTGCCTCCATTGTGGCACACATCCTCCTGGCACACAGATGGCACTGAGGAGAGGGGCTGCGGGAAGTCCCCATGGGGTCCACCCCTTCTGTCCCACCAGAAGGAGCAAGAAAGGATGATGTTGCAGACAGAGTAGAATCCTGAGATCTAGATTTATAAGCAGATCAGAAAAAACAATGTAAGTAAAAGGACCAGAAACTTAAGTAGAAATGACAGAAACTTTTGTTTAAAATAAGGAATCCCGCCCCTCACCCCCAGTCATCTAAGGTTTAAGTGAAAGCAAATAGAATTACTATATTTGTTTTACAATCGTGGGGGTTATAAATGTTGAAAATGTCTGAGCAACAGAATGTGAGCCTTGGTGAATTGTCGATTTATGTGGTTCTGAGAAGCTAAGTTAATTTCTTTAACATAGGTAAGAAGCTTGGATATATTAGCTTCCATAGGCCTAAGAGTCATTTCTGTGTAAAGGAATTAAAATTTTGACTGAACATAGTTCTACCTTGGCTATTCTAAATGTCATGAGCATAAGATCAAGAAGTTAGGCTGTGTTACATTTTCATGATAAAACTGCTTGAACTTTAGTAATTTCTAGGTTGACAGCTAGAAATATATATTTCTCAGAGTGACTTGCATTCATTTGTTGCAGGTATCGAGGAGGTATTTTAGAAATGCCTACAAATTATTCCTTAACAATTTTTCACAGATTATACTATCAGTCTAATTTTTCTTCCTTAATAAATAATAACCAAAAACAATTCCTTTTCAATTACATTGAATTTCTTTATTTTTGTATTCATAGCATCTTGATAATCAAATTCCTCTCTACTTCTCAGCCTATTTTATATGATTTCTCATAAGGAACTTAACTTCTCTCAAGCCTAATGAGATTCCTGGTAGAAGAACCTGAGCTTTCCAAATTTGGAAATTTATTCATGCCACTTTCTATGCATCATTGTTCTTCTCCTGACCTAACGTGTCAAGACAAGATCTATATTGTTTCCTCATCATAGCCTTCCTGGTGGCTCCTGGCCCACAAACATGAAATTGATGTTTCTGTCATCTCTAAAATTCCATAACATGTCATTGTACCGATGCTCAGATATTCCCTCCTGCTCATAGTAGACTTATTTTATCCACAGCCACTCCTGCTCAGTTTTACAATGGCCATTGTTTCTCCACCTTCCCCACACACAGATTCCTAATTTTGGAAGAATTCCTTATTCCCAGCAAACACTTTATAAATATGTGTTAAATGAATGCCTTCAGTGGACTCCTGAGTGCTACATACTGTTTGGGAAGCAATGCTTTTTAAAAATTCAATTAATATAATCATTAATAAAATTATCTTGTTAATATGAAAAATCTTGCTGCAACATAATCAAAATTTAACTGAGTACGATGTCTGTTGAGTATAATTAAAAAAAATTATCTTTATTGTTGAAAGTATCACAGCTATCCCCTTTTTCCCCATTGACCCTCTCTAATCCACAACCCCATCTGCCCCGAGGACTTCACCACATTATTGTCTGTGTCTATGAGTTTGATTTCAAATCTACCTTTTTTTTTTTTTTTTTTTTTTTTACAAGACATGAAGTTGCATTTAAGAATGAAGTTGTTCTGACCCAGGAATGAAGTTGTTTTGACCTAGGAATGAAGTTGTTTTTAAGAGTGAAGTTGTTTTGAAGTAGTCTATGTCAGGATGTTATCCTCTCAGCTGTTTTCATGGATAAGCACTCAGTAGCTCAGCTTCCGAGGGGCATCATTGGGGGCATATCGAGTAAAACACGGGACAAGAGTACATTTAGATGATAAATACCTGTAATGTGTGAAGACTATTCTGGAGTTTTTGGCCTGGGCAGCCTACCCTTGGCTAATCTACAGAGCTCTGTGAAGATCTGTGGGGCTTTAGCTCCCACTGAGGTCAAGGTGACTCTTACTGGCAGTGGGGAAAGCCAGGCAGTGATTCTAAAAAGAACATCCTGCCTGTCAACACTAGTGCTATCATTCCCTAGCAAAGTGCCCTAGCAACAGGGACTTTTACTTTGGCACTGACATGTGGACATCAGCTCTTGGTTGACCAGGCTGAGTTGTCTTCTGAGTACAACTTGCAGAAAGTTACACTTCAACTATATATAGACTCAACTCTTTTTCTTTCTCCTTGGCTGGAAATAATAGTATAATTATTCTCTCATTGCTTAGAGTATAGTCATGGCTCAGAGAGACTGAGTTAGGTATCAGACCTCCACAATAAACTGAGTATTATAATAAAGTGAGTTGTAATATTTTGGTTGGTGAAAGGTCTTGCCTTCAATTTGTGAAAGAATCAACATCTGTGAAGTACAATAAAGTGAATAAAAGGAGGTATGTCTGTATGGGGTTTTTTGGCTGTTTAAGAGACATGATCCTGTATGCTATTGGTTTGTGAACTACAATTCCTGAAGTGAACCTGTGTTAGATAAAACATTGGGGAAAGCAAAGTCAGTGTGAGATCATAATTTGCTCCCCAAAACAAAATATTGTAAAAAAGATAAAACGTTGGCAAAAAAGTGAATTCAAAAGTATTTTCTGATTGATATTAGAAAGCTATTTTTATGTTTACTATGTATATTAACTCATTGGAATAAAAAAACTGAAATGAAATAGATAATATAAAAAATGTTTACTGAAAGTAGTGTTAATGTGCTAGTAAGTTCTTTTTGTTTACAATCCTTTTACAACCTGAAATTCTTCTTGATGGTGTTTATCACAAGCTATAACCATATTTTTATTTTTGTCATTTTTTTTTTTTAGTCTGACTCACTTCTCTTTCCTCTGGACTGCAATATCCATGAATGACAGATGGATCACTTCTGCTCCTTCTTCATTTTTATCCCTAACAATGCTTGACTTCAAATAGGCTCTCCAAGAAATATTGTATAAATAAACTTGAATCATTTTTGTAAACATGCAATATATCACACCACTAACAAGAAAAACAATAAGTAAAAATGATTCAGTTCTTTGGGGAATATTTCATAACTCCATGGCAGGGCTCTTTAATTTTTTAAATAATGTAAATTCTAAAAATTTTGATGCAACCTTATAATCAACTTTATCTTATTTCATTGTACAGTTCTCCCCATTACTCATTATATAAGTCTATCTCTTTAAGGTAACTCTGTCAAGTGAAGTGGCAATGCTAATTTGAATTACATGGGATTTATTACTCAGTATTCCTTATTCTAATTTAATTGTTAAGTTTAGTGTTTCTGAATGATTTCACCATTTCATCTTTTGCCATAGATGACATAAACTGCAATCAATCATTCTTTTTCTTTGGAATCAATTAGACTGAGTTAAATGTCACTATTTCTTTCTCCTACTGTAGTTGCTAGAGGGGAGCAGGAAGTTCTATGTTTCACCTGAAAAAATAATTACTATCAATTGAGCTAGCAATTAAAGCATTAAGATAATTAATCAAATTTTGAAAACATTCTATATTATTAGGATCAAATTTTATATCTGATATATTCTTAGTTATTTCATAAGTTTACCAATTATATAATTTATACTAAAATAGTTATTCAATTTATTATATACTAGAGGCTCAGTGCACAAAATTTGTGCATGAGGGTGAGTGTTCCTCAGCCTAGCCTGCACCCTGTCCAATCTGGAACCCCTCAAGTTATGTCTGTCTGCCCATTTAGGCCTATTCCTGGTGAGATTGGGCCTAAATGGGCAGTCAAACATCCCTCTCACAATCCAGGAATGCTGGCTCCCAACTGCTTGCCTGCCTACCTGCCTGATTGCCCCTAACTGCTTCTGCCTACCAGCCTGATCAACCCCTAACCACTCTCCTGACAGCCTGGTTGTCCCTATTTGTCCTCCCCCGCAGGCCTTGTCACCTTCAACTGCCCTCTTCTGTAGGCCTTGTTCCTTCCAAATGTCCTCCCTTGCAGGCCTGGTCCCCTCCCCCAACTGTCCTTCCCAACTACCCTCCCCTGCAAGTCTCATCCCCCTAACTGCCCTTCTCTGCATGCCTGGTTCCCTTAACTGTCCATCCCTGCATGCTTGATCACCACCAACTGCCCTTCCTTGCAGGCCTGGTCCCTCCCAACTGCTCTCCCCTGCAGGCGTGGGTCCCTCCTAGGGGTGTCGAACTCAATCAGAGAAGGGGCCAAAATCTAAAATCCAGCCTAAATCGCGGGCCGAATGGTTTACTGAACAGTCATAAACTGTCATTGTGATGGAAACGCAGCGGAGTGCAGTGATGACAGCGCGGTGCAGGCCACATTGCAAGGCCTGGCGGGACGGATTTGGCCCGCGGGCCGTGTGTTTGACACATGTGCTCCAAACTGTCCTCTCCTGCTGGCCATCTTGTGTCCACATGGGGGCAACCATCTTTGAACATATGGGGGCAGCCATCTTGTGTGTTGGGGTGATGGTCAATTTGCATATTACCTCTTTATTATTTAGGATTGTTAAAAATTTTAACTTCTTTTTATGTAAAAAGTTAAAAAATCAAGCAACTGTGGATGTTTCTTAAACACAACTACGTGTTGGTCATATTAATATAGTTAGCAATATAAAAGGAATATTAAAGTTGTAATTCTTTTTCATTTTAATATAATGAATTTTTGAATGTTTGGAAACAAAGCAGAATTGTTTTTTAAACAAACAATATTGCAAAAATTGAACTTCTTTGCCTTTCTTATCTAAATACAAGAATCTGCTTGATTGTCTCTTGGGTAACTGTGGATAAGAATATAGTGATGAAGCAGGCACTATTATAACAATTAATAAGATCTCAATAACAGAATGAATTGATGATTGAGAATTATGTTAATTTTATTCAAAATCAAGTCTGATCTTTGAGACAGTCATTTTAAAAAGACAGTGATTTCTAATCATCTTAGGAAGGTCTAGGGGGAAGAAGGAAGGCACTCACTGTCTCATTGCTGCTACTCTTGCTCTTTATCGGGTCCTATAGAATCTCTTGGGTAGCAGGCAGCAAGCAGTTTGCACTGCCTCAGCCTGAGGGATTTTGCTATTGTCAGCACACATGGCCTCAATGTCTTAGGAGGAGGAAGGGGCTGACTCACAAGTGTGAATCCTGGAAAACCTTCTTCACAGCAGAGAAGGAAAATTTTTAGAATTATTTTAAA